TATATATATATATATATATTTAATATATTGTGTATATATACTGTATATATATTGTATATACATTGTATATACAGTGCATTTTTTTATTTGTCATATTTGACACTTGCAGGCAATGGGTAGTGGAATCCAAGTAAAATCAAAATAGCAGTAGGCCAAAACAAAGGGAGATCAGATTATACAGACTACCGTGTGTTTCAAAGAAAAGTACACCATTTCTATATCCTATCAGAGATGCAAAGATCCAGCTTAGTCAGTTAAAAATAGGCCATTGCGGATTCACCCTGTAGAAAATATATAACTGTCAAAAACATATTTTATTATTTAAAAAATTAAAGCATCAGTTTATAAAAGTGAAAACTGATAATTATTGGTTGTCCAAGAGAAGTAGTACACTAAAGTCCTAGCATTTGCTATCCTGGTAAAACATCAGCATTGTAATAGGAATACATACTAGAGTTGTTTTTGATAATACAATCAAAGCTTAGTTGAAAAAAATCCCTTTTATGTAGTGAGTACTACCTTCCGTCTGCCCATCACTTCCATCAACTTCCTGAATCCAAATGTGCTTTGCGTCTCTTTCCCTGCTGCTTGATGTGCTGTAATCTTAATTTTTCAAGGCTTCATAGCCCATCATGCATTGCTTCCAACAAGCAATGGTGATGTTACAGTGTTCAGCTGTTGAGTTGTAGTTCAGACTACAGGGTTGAGTTTTGCATATTCACAGGACTGAGTGAAACCGTGTCACTGCACGGTTTCACTCAGTGCATATTTATCTTCAATAAATAAGATTGCAAGATTCTAGATCAATAAGGGTATTAGGAGTGAGATAGAATTTATGGACATTTAATATAGAAATACAGATTTATTTTTACAGGGTTTTTCACAAAAGGGTGAAGAGTTTGGAGAAGGCAGGAGAAGTGAACAATCTAGGACAACATAGCTGAACTGGAAAGTGAGCTGAATTGGATACATTTTCCAGTTCAGCTATTTTGGCCTAGGTTGTTCACTTCTCCTGCCTTCTCCAAACTCTTCACCCTATAGTGAATAGACCTGTTGGTTTTTGACCAGAGATACCCTTAAATGTGAGTGCCAGTATTTGAAATCACCAATCAGCCTTGAGAGTCTTGGGGATGCCTCTTCTACCATTCCAATATCAAGGGAGGCCCACGTTTAAACCATTATCACCATCACGGATCTGCTCAGTGGAGGATGTCCCCCTTTTCTTCCTATTCTGATGAAAACTGTAAATGTATATATGCCTTATTACTTTTTGTCCTGGTCACCGTTGTCATCGGGACAGAACATGTTTGGAAATACAAAAATAGAAAGACCCTATCTCCACAGCGGGTACATAGACAGAAATAATAACCTTACAAGGACTTCCCTTCCCTGATGTATTCCAAACAAAGTGATTCCAGTCACTGTTAAGTTCATATAAAGGTAATCAGTTATAAGTATTCGTAAAATCAGTATTTCTATTTACAGCTGCATCAGCAAAAGGAAGAAATGGAAAATGTTCTGAAATCAAAGCTGAAGGAAAAAGAAAAAGAGGTACGTTATAAAACATTGCACATTTAAAGTAACTGTAAAATGAAGCTGTAAATCTAATATCAATCAGTGTTTCCTGAGAGGACCAGAAATTAGCAGTATGTAGCTGACCAAAAAGGACATCACAGCCATAAAACTTATTTATTAAGGTAAGAAGTAACCCATAGCAACCAACAAAATTCGTTTATCACTGGTCTAACCACAGTAAAATGAAATCTAATTGATTACCGCAGTTTGCATATCATCATCGGCGCCTTCATTTAAAAGCCTGGCAAGGCACTTGGTTTGATAACTCAGTGTTTTATGCTCAATGAATGTAGGAATGAATGTATACTTGTTTTGTATATATTGTATTTATTGGTTTATTTAATATTATTATATAGGATTTATATAGCGCCAACAGTTTGCGCAGCGCCTTACAATATATGGAACAGTAGAAAAGGAAGACACACACAATCACAATACAATTCAAGACAAGAAGGTAAGGATGGCCCTGCCCCTGAGGGCTTACAACCTAAAATGGAGAGAGAAGTGATACAAGAGGTGGTAGCTGTGTGGGGATGAATTGTTTGAGAACATGATGGTTCAGTGATTAGGTTGAGGTGGGATAGGCTTCCCTGAAGAGATGAGTCTAATATGGTCAGTACTTGGAAATTGAATATTGTTTTCCATTTCAAACCAGCAGGTGGTGCTGTAGGCTTCCATTTACATGTGTACCTATCTATTTTTGGCAGCTCTATTGGGAAAAAAACAGAGTTTAATAGCTCAAGCTGGAAATACCGGCAAAACTGAGTGTTTCAGAGGAGAGACCTATTACCTGCCCTTCCTGCCTGTTATTTTCACATGGGAGTTTTGGCTTTCAATCAGACACATAGAGCCTAAAAGCAATCGGCTCATGATGTACTCTCCCATACAGGGGCGTAACTAGAAATCACAGGGGCCCATAGCAAAATTTTGTATGGGGCCCCGTGATTTCTAATTATACCCCTTGCAGAGCCCACTCGAGATCCCACCTGAGGGTGACCCTGCAGAGCCCACCATAGACTCTCTATAGTGGGCTCCATCGCCGGGCCCGCCTCCTTCTTCCTCACCGAGGCCGCCATGTTTCAAATTACTATGCAGTAAGGGTCACAAAAATAACAGTTTCAGCAGTTTAATTCTCTTTTTCATATAGTCAATATCTGTAGGCCATATTTGAGAAAATTCAGAACATCTCGATCCACGTGAACCACCTAGTCCTTTTGTAGGTGGAACCCTTATACTGTAATTGCAAATAGAGCTACACTCTATGGTGATTTTGACCTTACATATAACGAAACACCTCAAAAATGGTATGTGTCTTCTTTGTTCTGCACCACCTAATTAAGCCTTAGAGGTTAGACCTTTTGTAATTGTAGTAGAGCCTTCTTGTCTTTACTGCGGAGGCAGGTAGTATATTTTTAGTATATTTTGATTGATTCCAGCACCTTATATTGCAGCCATTAAAGTTAACCTGAGCTAGCCTAAAATGATTCTAAGATAGCAACAATGTTTAAACTCCGGCATCTTGTGGTGCTTGCAGGTACCTGTGTTAGTATTTGGAACAATTTATGTGTCGCTGTGAATCCTTATTGGATCTAGGGCTGCAACCAACTAATCGATTAATTGATAATAATCGATAATTAGAATAGTTGTCATAGTTGGTTGGATCCCCTAGCTCTCTCCTCCATGCTGGGAGGAGGGCACAGCAAGCAGTGGGTGGGGACAATGGCCAGCCTGCTATTGGCTATTGAAGCAGCCCACTACCTGCTGTATTTACGTTCAGCTGCCATCTGCGGAATCTTGCCACTGGCAGCTGTCATTCCCTGACTGAAGCTCTTCAGGCACCATGTGCTTACAATACAATTATTAAATAAAAAATTATAAAAGGTGGGAAAAAAGTCATTTTCGGTTTCCGCCTGACAAATTCTGCTGCGGGAGATACATTGCAGCGCCATTCATTTCAATGGCACCCCAAACGCGCCTCCCACCCACAGTGTGATCGCCCGCACTGGAATGCACGGTACTGCAATGCCGTGCGTTCAAGTGCAGTGCGATTGCAAAAAATTGTGCATGCAGTTTTATTCTGAAGTAACACGGCATTTGTGTACAGTATTTTATTTTAAATTAAGGATGGTATTTATTTTGTATCCGATTAATCGGAAAAATAATTGGCCAACTAACCGATTATGAAACTCATCATTAGTTGAAGCCCTAATTGGATCCTAGTCCCAGGCTGTATGTGGGGCCTCAACATCTAGATTTAGCTCCGAGCCCCTCCTCTGTCATTCATCTGTCAAATTTCTGAGCTTCTACTGCTCATTGACATTCTGCCATTTGACAGTTTATTACAGAGCGCAGGGCTTAACCTCAAGGCAAGGGTGTGTACAGTCAAGGACAAGTGAGGACCCAGAACAGGGACATGTGTCTCATCCAAGTACTTCACCGCCATTCTGTACCAGTCTGTAACCAAGAAGTGAGTGTGTGTATATACTGTGTATATGGTTTAGTGAGTATGGTGTTGAGGAACTGAAGTATTCTGCGCAGAGGCCTGACCTCAACCCTAGTGAACACCTTTGGCATGAATTAGAACACCGATTGCAAGCCAGGTCATTTTATCCAGCATCAGTACCTGACCTCCCCAATGCTCTTTTGGCCAAATGAGCAAAGACACACTCTAAAATCTTGTGGAAATCCTTTCAGCAAAGAGAAAACCAACAGCATATTAATGCCAATGGTTTTAGAATTGGATGTCCAGAAAGCTCATATAGGTGTGATGATCAGATGTCCACAGGGTTTTGCCCATATACTGTATATGCACATATACAGAATATAAGAATAATTCTCCTAGTTTGTTAGAACTTGTACTTAAGCTGTTTACTCTTTTTATCAATCACACCTATTTCCAGAAATCATGACACTTGGTGGGAACCAGACACATGGTGCGATAAGACAAACGTGTAACTGTTTCCCTAACAAATAATAGACTTATAACCAGGTAAATATGTTACCAGTGAATTTATATTTCTGAATAACACTTAATGCTTGTTATGATAATGTGTTTCATCCAACCAGTCATCTCATGAATAATTCACATTTCCAGCTATATAATTAAGATTTAAAGTGCACATATGTGCATAAAATCCTAAGCTGTTGATATACTGTATATCTTTTCTTTAATACCTTTGAAGTGGAACTCTACATTTTCTTGTTTTTTATAAACCTTTTTTTTGATAAACCCCAAAGGTAGTGTGGACCCATGAGTGGCAAATGTGGGCAACGTTGCCCACTTGGGGTACAAATGAAGCTACTGGGAGTCATGAGAGCTTTTTTTAAAAATTATTGATATACTGCAAATATAAAAATATAAATCAAAAAAGTGTGACATTCCAAAGGATCTGAAATAGACTTTTTCTTGGGGCTTTTTTTTGGGGGGGGAGGGGGGGGGTGTTTGGATTCGTGCTGGTGTGAAGAGCAGGCACCTAGAAGTGCACATGCAGCAAGCTTTCAAAACTTTCTTATCTAAACAGACCCCTGATATTTCCCTTTTATAACAGAAAAAGAGATCGAGGACACAGAGTCCACAATCTATTTTTCAGCATCCCCTGTTATAAATGAACAGGAAGCCTCTACACAAGTTTTCCTGTTCATTCATACATTGTGGAGATAGTATGTTTACTATGTACACAACTATGAATGAACAGGAAGTGATGTAGATCACTTCCTATTTATTCATAACTTGTACATAGTAACTCATACTATGTCCAGTTATTTACAAGTAGTCAGTGATCAGGGAAGAGAGCCACCTTAAAACAGGATATCAGGACTAGTGCTCTGGGGACCAGCTGATTCTTCAGGAAGCTAACATTTTTAAACATCAAGGAGCAACATCTATTTTAAGTGGTTTAATCTGTATTTAAAATAACTTAAAAGGCTTTTGACTTTAATATCGGTTTAACACAACTTTTACCCAGGATTCACATATCGACATATCTTTCCAATGAAATGTATGAATCTTGGGTAAAAATAGACCCCCTTGGTGTTTGTAGTGGGCAATCTAGTGATTTCATAGTACAAGGACTAGTGTGTATACTATGAAAGACACAGAAGAAAAATGGATCAGGTCTACCTTTGTCAAAAACACTAATAATGAGGATGTCAAGATCGGTTCACAATACACTGACAGCTCTTCACTCCATGAGCTCTGCAGGGAAGGAAAGCATTAGTGGGTGGAGGTAGGAGGACAGAAATGTATCCCTTCAAAAGCCGGTTATCAGAAGGACACTAGAATTACATGTTTGCACCTGGTAGTCCTATTTACTAATCTGAACAGTGATAATAACATTTGTTCTACTAGACACTCAAGGTTTCAAATCTGCTGGCTTCAAAAATACTGTTGATGCATATCAGCCAGTAAGATTCTAATAGTCATCCCCTAGAACAATAAATGTGAATTTTATACTCTGCCATGGCCAAATCTAATACAGCATACTAAACAGCATACTGTATATGCTTAGAGCCAATCAAAAACCTGTAATGGGTATCCAAAAAAATGATGCAGTAGTCAATTAAATTCTCAGAAACATTTTTAGCAGGTTCTGTTGCAGTACATGGACTGGATACTAGCTTAAAGTGTCCCCTTATGTGTTAGCTCCATGTTCTTCTACAAATGTAAAAAAAAATAAAGTAGCAAAACATTTTTAAAAATTATGTTATTTGGGTGATTTTTGAATAACCCTTTTCATGTGTCTACTTTTTTTGAGAGAGAATTTGGCTAGTTAAATAGGTATTGGGCAGATTTTATTACATCTGGAAACCTTGGGTGCCTTTCCCATCTATATAGAGAATCTTCTCTTGCCTGGCAGCAACTGCAGAAGTACAGCCAATGTGAATCTATGCTGTTCATGTGAGGATGAGCCATTCAGTGTCACTGGATAATAGACAAGCAGTTAGCATTCAGCTGGTTCTCGAAATCCAATTGTTAA